TCTTCGTAAGGTTAATAGCTTAATTTCATTGGCTGAGACAGACTGTCGTATTTTTTTCCCAAATTGGACAGTTTCTGCGTTTTTACTCAAAGTCCTTATTGAAAACTTGGACAGTTTCCAAAAATTAAAGGATAATAGCTGTGCTAACAATACTGGATTAACTGACTGCTATATAATTAGATTACAAACACGCACACGTCTGTATGGTTGATTGGCAGTAGTTTCCTGCGAGTCACCCAAGCATCTGTAGATTTTATTAAGTCTGAATGCGGAATATGAGACATTTATTTTCAAACATCGCACCTTTGAACCGTAACCGGTCATGATAGACCGGTTATAGAACCAGCTAGCCCTGGATAACGCTTATTGCCTATGGAGTAAGATTGTTTTGGTTTGTTTTGTTTATTTTTTGGTTAAATCGTTTGTACTCAGTGTACACACTGTTAGATAATTATACTGTTATAATTTTACTTCCTGGACACAGCGACCTACAAATATTGTTGTCGTGGTTCATACTGCCCTGGATGTCCAGTTGAAGTCTATTTCACGTTTGCTGAACAGAAACGTTTGGTTCACACCGGGTTAAAACTGGACTGCCAAGAACACAGCTTCAACACCACTGTCGACACTGTGCTTCAGGAGGGAATCTATGCAATAAACGTGAGTCTTACGAAATTCAATCACACTAATGTCACTTAGCTTCACTTAACTCTCCATGTTTGACTGTTTTTGTGAAAAGAAAGGAATCTCTGCGCGGTATTCGTTGCTGTTAATGCTCGATGCAGATGTTTATTTGTTACTTTATCTCATTTATTTGCGCCTTAGGTCTCATATGAGCCGGAAGAGCCAGTGTCGTATTTACCCCAGATTAAAAGGCAAATTGGTGAAGTTAATGTCAAAGGTGCGTTACGTATCTGAAAAAGCCCTAGCCATGGTAAAAAGATTATATTTAGCAAGTATCTGGCAACATTATCACCGTCCCCGTTTTGGTTCGTGCATGTCACATGCATAGTAAGATAAGATAAGATAAGAACTTTATTAACGTGTCGAAGTCGCTAGCATACAATGTATATAATGTGGAATCGAGTGTTTACTTGTTTACACAGCCGTCGCAATCGATGCACTTCAATTACATTGCTCAGAATTCACTAAAGCTCACTGAAGCCATGATAAAAGGAAAAGACCCAAATGTTAGGCTACAAATTTTGCTGAGGTGTCATTTTATACCAAAAATATACAGCTGTTTTCGCTTTCGGAACGAAATTGTTTCGGTTAAATATCTTTCCGTGGATTTTGCTGCCTTTTTTCCTTTCAATCGCTTTTCTTGTATGAAGTATTAGCTTTTAGTATATACCACACAAGTGAATAGTACTTTTCGCGCACGCTGATTGGCTACTCAGA